CAGTTGTAAGGTATCTTGTCTTCCTTGTTATCTCCTTCAAGGGCCTGGCCCTATCTGACTGTCTATAATATTTCTATCTAATTCAGCTACCTGCAACAGCTTCAAATAAGAAAATCCCAGGGAACAACTGATTGACTAGGTCACACATACACCCTTGGGTCAAGCACTGCAACTCAGTCAAGGGTGCCAAAGGTAGTGGGATAAAATTAGCATTGATGAGATGTTTCCCTGTCACTTAGAGGTAGGGACAGTTTCCCAAAAGAATTGAGAGTGTTGAGTAAAGAAAAACCAGGCAATACCCATGGAGGATGGCAGCAAAGTAGAGAGCCTCAAATGTCAGTCTATGGGGTCTAAACTCATTTTAGCAATAAGCAGCATTTAAAGGTCAATTAAAATTTGAAGTAATGATGCAGCATATAAGAGTTTAACATGCCAGCCCCACCCCTGGGGCGCATTTGAGATGACAATTGAGACTGGGCATGGTGATGCGTGCCTGTAATCCCAGTTCTTGGGAGGCTGTAAACAGGTGGATCACTGCGGGTCTGATCTAGTAGTGAGACCCTGAACACCCTGTAGACCCTTCCCTAAAATAAAAAAAAAAGTTTAAACATATGGGTGGCCCTAATGTAAACTATGGACTTTAGGTGACAATGACATGTTCATGTAGTTTCATGGATTGTAACACGTGTACAACTGCTGTGTAGGATACTGATAACAGAACAGGTTGTGCTTATGTGGTGGTGAGGCGTGCATGAGAACCCTGTACTTCTTGCTTAGTTTTGATGTGAACCTAAAACTGCTATAAAAAATGGTCTATTTTTTAAAAAATGGGGCTTGGTGAGATAGCTCAATGGCCTAAGCACTACCTGGCAAACACAAGGACCTGAGTCTGATCCCCGATACCACAAGACTTAGGCAGGAGGATCACTATGAATCCAAGATGCATAGTGAGACCTTGTACTAAATAAATAAATAAATGACTTTTTAAAAAATTAAATAAATAGGGCCAGTCAAATAGCTCAGTGGATTAAAGCACCTATAAGCAGGTGCTGGGGCCAGGGGTTTGATCCCCAGTCCTGCTGTGCTGGCCTTGCCCGTGAGGCATGCTGAGATGGCAATTGAGACTGGGTGTGGTGGTGCATTTTGGACTCAGAGTGATCCTTCTGTTTTTAGCCTCCCCAGGGCTGGGATAGCAGGTGTGTACCACCATTCCTGGTCTCAGTGACTGACTCAGCACATCTGAGGACAGGGCCCACAAGGCATGTGGTACGGGGATCAAACCCTGGTCCCTATGCTTGCCTAAGCAGATGATTAGTCCACTGAGCTATCTCGCTGGCCCAGCAATTTTAGATTTATTTATTTATATATTATTTTTACTTTAAAAATAATTTTTATTTTATGCTCAAATTAGTTACTCAAAGTAAAAGACAGGCATTTTAAATTTAAAGGTGTAAAATATTCCCAGCTGCTAGACATGGTGACATATGCCTGTATTCCCAGCACTTCAGGATGCTGGGGCAGGAGAATCACAATTTTTTTCTTTGTATTTTGTGCAGGGTCTCACTATGCAGCTCAGACTTATAGTGATCCTTCTGTTTGAAGCCTCCCAGTGCTGGGATTCCAGGCATGCGCCACCATACCTGCCTGGACTAGGCTGCCAGCTCAGTGTACTCAGGGGCAGGCCAGCATGGCATGTGGTGCCAGGGCTAGAGCCCCAGTCTCTGTGCTTGCCTAAGCAGGTGCTTAGTCTGCTGAGCTATCTTGCTGGCCTAGGAATGACAAATTTGAGCCTTGGAACTTAGCAACTTATCAAGAACCAATCTCAAAATAAATACAAATGGTCTGGGGCTGTAGCTCAGTGAAAAGGTCTTGAGTTCAATCCCCAGGACTTCAAAAGTAAACTGACAAACAGGTCTACCAGCCAGCAGCTGCTCAGCTGAGAATATTCTTGGCCCTGAATCTGGCATTTATTTTCTGATGCTGAGAATCTATAGTTGAGATAGTAAGTAAATTAGGTCATTTGCAAACATGTTTTTTTGAGTGCATTTTATTTGTAGACCTGTGCGTAACATACAGTAGAAAAACAACAATGCGTGGATCCTGAACTCAGACTTCACAGACTGGTGTAGTTTTTATCAGAGGGTAGTGGCCCACACGGGAAGTACTTTGAGGAAGTTGTCTGAAATCATCACAGAATTCAGGACTACAATGTAGGTAGACCTCTGGAATAAAAGTGTGTGTGTGTGTGTGTGTGTGTGTGTGTATGTGTGTGTATGACTTGGGAACTTCGACATTCAGAATGTGACATCCCCTTAGAGATTCCATCCCAGACCTATGGATTCAGAATCTGCATTTTAACAAGGATCTCCATACATTACATGACTCCTAAAGATTCTATTACATGATGAATTTTGAGAACTGCTCATCTGATGAGTGTAGTCAGGAAAGCAGCACAGTGTGTGCGTTTGTTTGCAGAAGAACACGTGACTTCCTTTAGGAGCAGTCTGACCTGTCAGAGTTTCTGGGAAAGGTGTGACGTCATCTGGCTGCCTCTTAATGAGCACAAAGGAGACAGGCAATGGGGAGGGTTGGGAGGTCTCATCCCTCTAATGAGGTCTCTCACCTTACAGAGTCTTGAGGCAAATGAGAACACTATAAGTTCAGATAAAAACAAAAAATATACTGCAAATTACAAAATGTACTGCAAAATTTTAAAAAAGTTTTCTAAATATCAACCAAAGGTGATTTTTAAAAAATACTAAGTAGTTAAAGGTTTGCTTATTAATTTTTGAGAGTGGGGCTGCAATCAGTTTTACAGTTTCCATTATGTTGATGTCTCTGACCCCTCTGGCATTTCCCTTTTGCATTGCTTACTCATTCAGTCAAATATATACACATTGGGCACTGTTAGGTTCCCATCCCCTGCTGGTGAGTGAAATCAAAATATTCTGCCCTGAAGAAACATGTGGATGAGATTGCAGTGGAAGTGGACAAGCTGATACAACTGAAAAGTGAGCATGTATTTATGAATTGGGAAGATGGCTAAGAATAATGCTATGATGCAGGACAAAGCGGGGAGTTGCAAAGCAGCCAAAATCACTGGGGGTGTAAACCTGGGGTATCAATGCAGAGCACCCCACACCCCATCTCTGAGTACTGCATACAACTTCTGTTTTGGTGGGAATCTACAACCCCCCCTCAAAGCCACTGTCTTCTAACATGCTGGATGCAACAGGAAAGCCTAGTGTCTCAGTTACTTTTTAGTTGTTGCTGAGACAAAATACCTGACACCCAAAATTAAGGAAGGGAAAGTTTCTTCAGCTCATAGTTTGTGGAGGTTTCAATCTATACTAAGCTGGCTCCCAAGCAGAGTGGCACAAGGCAGGGAGGAGCAGTTCATGGCAGCAGAAAACAGTGAAGAGCAAAGGGAAGGACAGTAGCAGTGGTAGCCTCTCTCCCCTTCTTATATTATAAACGAGCTACCCTGAAGCTTCAGGTGTAGAACTCACACAATGTCCACGCCCTCCTCTTGCACAGGATGAAGATGTTTACAACTAAGAATCCTGGCTCTCTGTTGAGTCACAGTTAAAGTTTTTAAAAAATGTATTTAGTACAGGGTCTACAGGGTCTCACTACATAGATCAGACTCATAGTGATCCTCCTGTTTTCAGCCTCCCAAAAGCTGGAATTACAGGCACATGCCACCACGCCCAGTCTCAATCACATCTCAGCATGCCCAGAGGCGGCATAGGGGTGTGGAGGGGGAGATCAAATTTTGGTTGCTGAGCCTGTCTAAGGAGGTGCTTTAGTCCACTGAGCTATCTGGCCAGCCCTTAAACTTCTAAACTTCTCAAATTAACATGATGTATCAACCAGTACAATCCACCCATGTCAACTTGGCAAACACACATTTTTTAAAACCAGTTTTCAGGTACATAGACGTATTAACATTTTATAACTTGAATATTGTATTAGAACCATGACATTTTGCCCAGGACACCCCCCCCCACAAACACTTTTGTGTATCTCTTTATGTAAAAGGCATTTTAGTCTATCTCTGAGAGATGTCAAAGTCCTAATAATTTTATTGTTGTTGAAAAGTCTAAGTCGCAAGACTCTTAAGATTTAAGGCAAACTCTTAGCTGTGAGCCCCTGCATAAATGAAAAGTTAAAACACTTTTAACATAAAAGGCACAAAATAAACATTATATTATTTTAAAAGGTGCACACAGCAGGATACAGACCTTTGGGAACAAAACAAGTCCAAAATTCAGAAGGGCAAGCAATTGGTGAATTGTGAGCTCTGAGAGACTAATACAGATCCATCCCTATGGCACTTTTGTTGGTCACTCTCATTGCTTTTTTGGGGGGCTGGCTTTGCTCCCTCTTTGTAGTTTTTTTTTTTTTTTTTTTTTTTTTAGACAATATAGGATTTTGGCTTTTTTAAACTTTCGGGGTTTTTACTGAATAGGCTTTTTACTCACAGTTTTATACACTGCCCTCTCCGGGGCACATTGGCTTTTTAGACCCTTTGAAATCTAGATGGAAGCCTTTTTAGTCCCAAGATGACATAATATGTCAACCAATACACTTAGTTAACATCGCAGCTGGAAACTTGCACCGAGGTGCACTGGGTCCCACCAGGGCTACTTCAGGAGAGACTTTGTCACTGAGTAATTCTCTTACACAGGGGGTGCAAAAAGCTGAGCTGGTACTGGTTTTCCAAGGGAAGATCTGCAATTATAAACAGCCATTTGGCCTCCAGTGCAGCAGCGAGGAGACACTATAGCATACGCGACTGCTTTCACAAGATAAGTGTTGAAAACTGTGCCTAAGAACACAAAAGCAAGTGGCTCAGGCCGGGCCTGGGGTGGTGGGGATGGAAGCAGAGAGCCAAGTTCTTCGCGGACCGGAACCTTAAGCGCTTGGGTCCGGCTGCCGGGCGGAGCGGGGGGAATCTTTTCAGCGTGGGACAGCGAGACGCCGCTTGTAAACAGAGCCGGGCCGGTGGTCGGACGCGCTGTGGCGGCGAGCTGGAGGACTGGCTGACGGCCTCCAAGAAGCCTACAGGCCTCGCAGGTAAGGGCGGTGGGCCGCAGGTGAGCTCCTGCGGGCTTCCCGGCTGCCTAGCCGGCCGGCGGGGCAAATGGGGTGAGGGTGCGGTGAGGGGAGGAATGGGTGACAGGCTCGTGCGTGCGACCGAGAGGCGCCCTGAGGTAGCAGTGATTCTGCTGTTTCTCCCAGGCGCCGTTTTGTGTGGAGACTGCACTGCCTCGCATCGGATAACGAGCGAGGCACAAGTGCGAGAGGCGTGCTTGGCTTGTTTGTGTGTCAGGTGAATTTAGAGTAGAAAGTATGGTGGTCGCAACGGGTGGACCTGCGCGGGCCGCTGTTGTTGTCCTCTCCCCGGGTGGTGGGAGCCCGAGTTCAACCGAGCGCCAGGGGACCGAGGCTGCCGGGTCTGCTCTGCCCGCTGGAAACGTATGGCGGATGACATCACATGACTGGTGACAGGCGTGGGTTGGTCTTGTATGAAAGAATTACTAAGCTAAAACATCAAGATAAGGCCATCTCAGACCCACTCCTTGAATACAATACATCATTACAGAGATATGCAGTTGGATGACAAATTAAGACTAGCCAGTATGTATAGCTTGCAAAGCAAAACAAATTTGAATTTACCAGGTTAAACTGAAGTTGAGTCATGCTGTTGTAAACTTTACTTGAAAGGTTTTTCACCTGCAAACTTTGAAGAGTTAGAAACACCTGGGTTTTTTTGTTGTACCAAATTTTAGTAATCATAGTGAATTGTGGTTTGTATTTAATTATTTTATTGTAAAATACCACATTTAATCGGTGTGCCTATAAAATACTAAGTAGTTTTTGTTTTATTTACTTGGAGGAAATTCCTCAACAAAAACATGGCTTTTGTCTCAGAATGGTCAATAAAAGTATGTCATCTTGATCATATAGCCTTTCAGGTAGGGGACAAATACTAGGTTAATTGCATGAGACAAGTGTTTTAAAAATCATGCATTGAAAAATAACCTTAATGACTGATGAGTTTCTTTACAGTGAATTTCTTTCATGATGTTATGGTTCACAGCAAGAACTACAGAGCCATACTTCCAGAGTCTGATTTCTTACCTGGTCACTTTGTTATGTAATCTTAGGCAGTTTACTCGTCTTTGCTACATTTCTCCATCTGTACAATGAGAACAATAACTATATTGACCTCAGGGTTTTTATGAGGATTAACTATTTCTAAAGTTAACATTTCAAATTGCTTAGAATAGCACTAGTATGTTGAAATGACTATATGGATGTTTGTTAATAAATACATCAAATAAAAATATACTAGTGTTGAAAAGTAGAATGGTGATTACTGAGGAAAGAGAGATGAGTTTTATTCATTTATTCTGGCAGCACCAGGGATTGAACTCAGAACCTTGCGCTTGCCAGGCAAGTCCTTATTCTACTGAGCTATCTCCCTGGCCCTGGAAAGAGATGTGTAGTCCAGTGGGTATAGAGTTTCAGTTTTTCAGGTGAAGAGTATTCTGGGGACTTGTGGCACACCCGTGTGAAAGTACTTAATAGAATGGTTCACTTTAAAATAATTAATACAGTAAACTTTTTATGTATATTTTACCCCAGTTAAAAATGTAAAAATGTATAACCACAGCATTAGCAAAGTTATGTACTTAAAATCTTTGTACACAGCATCTTGTCTTCAGTTGACTTTGTCAGTGGAAATATACAGCTTCTAGCCATTACGAGGAAGATACATTCATTCATTCATCACAATTGCATGAATTGTGATTTATCATAAATTATGAGAAATAATACTTAAGATTGCTGCAGGTACAATTCTAAAAATGCCCCTCCACCAGGATTGTTTACCCTTATCCCTAGAACCAGTGCGTAAATTAAGACAGCATTCCCTGGATTATGTTATACTATGGTACAATTGAATTTAAAATGGGAGATTATTTAGGTGGGCCTAGTTGGCCACAGGTGCCCATAAAAGGAAATCAGAGAATTGAAAGCTGAAAGGATTTAGCATGTTGCTGTTTTAAAGTTGGAAGGATGCCCCTGAGAAGGAACTCAAACAACCTCAAGCAATTTGAAGGATTCCTATTACTGAACCTGGGTCCCAATTGACAACTAAAATAGAAATGAGAATCTCAGCCCAGATTGCTCTAGACGAACTTGGAACAGGATTCTTCACCAGTCTTTTTTTTTTCTTCTCTGTATTTAGGGCATGGTCTACAGGGTGTTCTGGGTCTCACTTAGATCATGTAGATCTTAGTGATTCTCCTGTTTACAGCCTCCCAAGTGGTGGAATTACAGGCATGCCACCATGCCCAGTCTCAATCGTCTCCTCAGCGCACTCCAGGGGCAGGGCCGGCATGGCACACCTGGGATCAAACCAAGCCACTTTGCTCTGCCTAAGCAGGCACTTTAGTTCACTGAGCTATCAGGCTGGCCCTTTAAAACTTGAGGAGTCCCCCCACCCCCTCAGGCTGCTTTAAGTTTGGGTCTGGTGGGTCTGGTGCAGAGGCATGTGGAGCTGGGGATTGAACCACAGTCCTCTGCAACTGACAGAGTTTGCCCAAGCCAGTGCTAACTGAGCTAACCTGCAAGCCCCCCTTCACCAGTTTCTAGATAAGAGCCCAGCCAGACCTTAAATTCAGCCTCATGAGAGAGACCTGAGCAGAGAACCTGGCCATGTCCACCAGATTTCTGGCCTTGAATATGATGAGGTGATAAATTGGTAGTCTTTGAAACTACTTAGATTGCGATTTGTTGTGCAGCAGTAGGAAACTAATACAGACCACCACAGCAGAGGAATGGGCCAACAGTTAAGAATAGACAGTCTAGAGTAGTTTGGGTTATGACTGTCCTAAAGGCTCAGATGTCATAAGCTTGGTCCCCAGGATAGCAGTGTTGGGAGATGGTTAAACTTTTAAAAGGTGGGAGATCTGTGGGGGTGTCTCCTGTAAAGGCTTGGGCAACTCAGGATCCTTCCTTGTTCTCTCTTCATTTCCTGCCTTGTGATGTAAGTAGTTTTCCTCCATTGTTTGTTCAGCCATGATGTGCAGCCTTGCCAAAGGCCTAAGTAGACGCTAATTGATTTGAAGCCTCCAAAACTGTGAGCCAAAATACCTCCCCCCCCTTCTCTTTTTGTAGTTAGGACAGGGTCTAGAGGGTCTGCAGGGTGTCCCTATGTAAATCAGATTCGTAGTGATTCTGCTGTTTTCAGCCTCCAAAGCGCTGGGATTACAGGCTTGTGTCACCATGCCCAGTGTCAATCTTCTCATCGGGTCCTGGGGGCAGGACCAGCATGGCATGCCGGGAAACCCCAACTGCTGCCCTCTGCCTAAGCAGGCACTTTAGTAAACCTTTTCTCTTTATAAGTTGATTATCATGTATTTCATGATAGCAACAAAAAGCTATCATACTTCCATAGAAAAAATTAAATGGCGAATAGAATACAAAAGTGCATTCTTTCTTTTAGTCAAAGAAATGACAATAGAAACAATAGCAAGGTAACATTTTTCAGCTCTGTAACATAGATTTCTAAAAGTTCTAATTCTTGCCAGGCATAGTACCACATTTGTAATCTCATCACTCAAAGAGGCTGTGGCAGGAAGACTGCTACAATTTTGAGGCCAGCCTGGGCTACATAGTAAGTTCAAGCCAGCCTGAGCCCCCTGCCCCTCAATAAATAAATGTTCTGATTCTCTATATCATTCAGCATACAATGAAATAGACAATTTTAAATGTTATGAGAAGCACACAATTATCACCTTTCTGGAAAGTATAGTATGTCAGTTTATGTATAAAAAGCCTCAATTATATCCATTAAATATATAAACAGCCTCAATAATGTTTATACTTTATGACCCAGTAATTCACCTTCCAAAAATCTATCCAAAAGAACTTATGAGAAACATTTTAGGGGCTGGGGAGATAGCTCAGTAGAATAAGCGCAGGGGCCTGAGTTCAATCACCAGTTCTGAAAAAAAAAAAAATTTTTTTAAAAGTTAGTGTTCAAAGATGTTTAGTGTAACCTTGTTTAAAAGGTATTGTCAATAACCAAAATGCCCAGTAACAGGGAAATAGGTAAACTATAGTACCATTGAAAGATTGGGTGTTATACAGATATTAAAAAGGTACTTATAATGAATCATAGCAGAGTGAAAATGTGATGGCAATGGCAAATAGCCATATGGGGGAGAATGCAATAGAAAAACATACATACAAAATGCTGTCAGATAGGGCTAGAAAGGGCTAAAGAGCCAATTACGGGACAGTGTTTTAATCACATAAATTAGTATTGGTTGTTTTGTCTTTTATTTTTTCTATAGTTTCAAAATGCTGAATAATATATTTCTAGTATTTTGTTATAATCACAAATGTTAAAAGAGATCAAGATTGTGGAGAATAAAATGAATCTAAAACATTTTTACTACTTTTTCATTGTTATCTCCACTGTAATAATAGACAATAAAAATTCATAAATTTGTGGTAGAAAAATTTCTTAGGTAGAAAATAATAAATATTGGAAAGATCAAAAATGAAGTCAGGTTCGGTCTCTTGTAAGATAGTCATTGAGAACTTTATGGTAGAAACACCCCTGTATATCATTACAGAAGTAACAGAAGGTGCATGACAGTTGTTTTCTCATAGATCAGGAGATTGAGGCTTTAGGTCATATACTCAGATTACTTATGTAAGTGAAAAGTAAAGAACCTTGAAGAATATGTAATCATTGCCAGAGAGAAACAGACAGAGACAGACACAACTGGCTTGTAAGGACCAGGAAAACAAACTGGACCAGCACCAGTACTGTATGTTAAAAGTAATCAAAAGCTAATATTTATTCAATATTTATCAGAGACCTAATTCCAGTCTTGTGTATAGCCTTTTGAAGTTAAATCATTTACATATTTAAGCAAGCAGAAAGGTGGTTACCATTTTAATTATTGCTTTCAGAAATTCTAATTTTTAATCAGAATCTGGAAAGGGTTAGATCATTTGGGCAGAATTTGGGAGGACTCTTGATCTCTAGATAG